AGGATGACAGATGCGTCAACCCTGAGATATTTTGAAGTGTAGTCACAATAAAACAGTCACATTCATCCTACTGCTCATTTTTAACTAATTAATTCACTGCAACAATTTTGAAGATTGATAAATATGAAAGATCACGTCTTTTTTTTAGCTATGAAGAGATTCTGACGATAAAAGAAGGCACTAGATAAATTAAAATGTAAGAATACGTGCATACACCTCACTCCGACAATAATATGACATCAATAATGTTGGTATTAAATTTGATCGAAAGGAAGTAGACACGTATATTTAAAACTTCCCCACCTAGCAACAGATGCCCTTGTACTGCGGCAACACAAAGCCCCACGAACCACTTCAATTCGTCCAGTGAGACCTGGAAGCGTTCCACATCACGCAACAAACTCTCGCTCTCAAACTACGTCGCATTTCTTCTCGATTCCCCAACCAAGGCATCTATTGTTAACATTCTTAATTATAAACAAAGGTTGCATGACATTTGTTTTAATTATGAACGATGAGCGACGAGTCACGCCTGGTCTCACAGCTGATTTTCTTCCCACAAGGTCGCTCATTACTAGGCCTGTCCCCGGCTACACCAGGCGAAAGTAGCGCTCACTCAGCTGACTGGAAAGGTAGTGAAAATGGGTAACAGCTGGGACCAGCACCATTATCACGTTATATAATTAATGCATACCTTTCTTTGTATATTAATTCCGTTTCAAACACCGCTAATGACGTCATAATTCATACTGCACTTCTTAATATTTCGCAAACACCTGCTTGAACGCACAATACAACACGTCACTGCATATCGAAATTTGTAATAATACTACATTAGGATATTATAACAAGAAAGAAACTCACCACGAGTTACTGCAAGTCATCAAACAAGTGAAGAAATGTTCATAATCCATCTAGGCGATTAGCGACACAATACTTGTGCACCGCAGACCAGAGATCTCAGAAGTGCTGTCTGGTTCTCGCCAGCTTGTTGACAAGTGTGCAAGAACAGACCGTTAAACCTTCCGCATGCAAAATCAGCTGCCTTTATGATCAGCTGTCCCTGAACACATCACGGAATACAGCTATCGGACGATGTTGGTAACACTGTGGACTGGGGACGAGACTAGTCAGCTGGACTCCATTGTAACTGACAGCAGAGCAACTATTGGTTGCAGCTGGGTGATGTGAAACATGTGGGGGGAGAGCAAATGAAAGATGAGTAGCGAAGTAGGGTAGGGTATAGAATTTTTCAAATAAAACTTCACGTTTACCAACACCGCAAACCACTCGACTGTCCTTGCGTCTGTTGCTAGGCGCCCACTTCACCTGTTAGTCAGCTGTTTTTTTGTCCTTGTCTATTGGGAGGGTTGTGAAGGGGACAACCCTCGAGCTACAGGGCTCTGACCCCTTGTAGACAAACAGCGTTGCCATCTCTTGCAACCAAGAGGGTTGGCAATACTAAATAATTACATGGAATTTTGGACCATCGTCGGCTATTAATCGACAAATTAAATGCTGACGTGAAAAATAAACAGATGAGGTTTCAGTAAAGGACAAGGCACCACCGATTTGAGTGAAATAACACTTGTCTGAATTCAAAATTCCTTCCCCAAAGACGAAGGAAATGCATTTTGGGGCTTTTCTACAACTGATAGATACAGATTTTGAAAACATTACTTCTTTTCAACTGCACTCTTCAAAAGTAGGGCATAGGTCTTTCTGGGGCACACAATTCATGTTAAAAAAATATAAGGGGATCATGGTATTTGCACAAACCATCCACCATCTTGAATGAAGATGTTCCCTCTTTAACATTCATTTGCTTCTCCACATATTTCACTTCTGCAAGTATTGGACACTTTTCAAGAAGTACTCTGCTATGAGTTCACGGAGGCCTTAAAACATTCCCTAAGTTTATGATTTTACACAACATAACAAAACCACAAGCGATTACAACATTACATTATATACCCTCAAACAAAATTATAAAAAATAAAGGCTTGGATTTTCTTCCAAAGTACTCATAACAGAATAGCGAGATATTACTGGAAAGACTGGAGAAATTTTTATATTACATGTACATGTTTTAGAAAGTCAAAACAGAAACCTCTGATGACCTGTAAAGTTAAATACAGATTTGTTAAAAATTACAATTACCATTTACAAGTCCAAGGAAGTAAAATGTAATACATTTTGTACAGTCTTCAAAGTTTGTAAGGACAACTACAAGAATTCAAAGACATTTGGGGCAGAGCCTGGTCGGTAGCCATCATGCAGATTTTTCATAGCGGCCAGCAGCTCACTGCAACGGGTGTCCAGTAATGATCGACAAACAGAAAGCAGCATTGGCAAGTGACGTCTCTACGATTCTGATGGTTCCAATCCGAGGCGAATATTAAAGAAGGGTTGCAGGACTCGTTGCTGGACCCCGACTCTTCTGTCATCAATTTCCTCGAACGGCACTCCGCCTTGTCTCATGTATATTTTCAGTTGATTTAAAAAAAGTTTGATGCAGTCAGCTCTTGGACCTCTGATGGACTGAACCCATGTTATAATTTACAAACGTACTAACGAAACAACAAACCTCTTTGAAGGAAATATAGCAAATGGGAACACAGAATAAATTTGAAATTGTCACACAATAGTAAAATTAAGAAAGGAAGCCGAGTTTACACAACAGTTTCAAGCTGTAGTACATCAGAAACAAAAATCACCGTCTTAAAATATTTCAACTGTTCTCGTTAGCAGGATGGGTTGCCAGGAGCGGGAATAAAAAAACTGACTGTACAACATTTGGTGTTCAAAGTATCCAACATTACACTTAGGTTTAATAATTATACATTTGGCATTAAATCTCAGATGATTCACACACAGTAAAACCTTGATAATCCGAATCATACGGGCAAGGATGTCCTGGATTAAGTGCCAATTTGGACAAGCATAATTATAACTAAAAGTACTAATTATCATAATATATTATTCAAACTATCACGCTCGAACACTTAACAGCAATTCTGAGTCACTTCCTGAGATTTCCGAGCGTGATTTCGGTGGGCAGGAGTATTTAGGGGTAACAGCATCCAGCATATAAAAAAATATGTAGATTCAACATAAACACTTCCATTAATTCATTATAGTAATTGTCACTTTAACCCAAAAATATCCTGCAAGATTTAACTACAGATAAGGATGGAAGGATCCTGTTCATATGGACCTGTCGTCAGACAGAACACTAAATAAAATAATAAACATGAGGTATTTATATCATTAGTACTTTAACTTTGTCCAAAATATTTTAATTACTCAAATCCTATCGTGATTTTTAAATTTTACCTGTAAGATCTGATTATACTCAACTGGAGGAATGTAGGATATGATTACAAGGTAATAAGGTTTAATTTAATATGACGACGAATGGTGGCAAACAGATTTAGAAGGATCATGAAACATTACACTACAGAGGTCAGCCAAATTAGCAGCACTTAGAGAGCGCTTCATTTTACAATAACAACTTATGGAACAGCAGGTCCCTGAATCATAAAGGCTACAGTTTCACCAAAAGAAAGACCCTCACACCAGCCACGTTAGTCGAGGAAGGATACTGGAAGTAGTAGTCCGAGGTAGGGTGAGAAAATGCATTCCACACTCCAAAAACTATTTTACCGCAATGCCCTGTGCATTTTGGTGGTCTCTTTATTAACCATTCTTCAGGACCACAGAGTGACGTTCAGCGGTCTCATCGAGACTCAGAAGTAACGGCAAGGAGTCGGCCTAACTTACTTCCAACGTCACAACTGCTTGCGTACTTCTTAACCAGCCTACAGTAAATGCCTGAAACTACTATATTCGACAAGATTCTCATCTGATGGGATTTTCAATGCTTGTCAAAACAGAATCAATCATCAATGCAAATAGGATTAAAAAAGGCACAGTGCTGTATTTTATTATGATTCAACCACCCATTCGTAACACCACGGTGGAATGTTTTACAGTAAGTGATCAACCTGAAACCTGCACTGTTACGTACAGAAAACTCAAGAGAATGCAAAATTAAGTATACCTCCACAAATTATCTGCTCATAATTTAGAATACAGATGTCACTTTTTGCCAGACTTCTTAATGCCACCGCCCACAAGAGGACCCTTCTGAGCTGCTTTCGCCTTGGCTTCCTGAAGGGCCTTTTCCTGTTCCTTCATTTTCTGTTTGTGGGCAAGGTCCTCCTCATCCACTGCCTGTTCTTTCTTCTTAGGAGCTTTCAGTGGCTTCTTCTTGCCTCCATCCCGACCAGACATGGTGCTACAATGCAAAAAGTTAGCGTGACGCAATACATACATCATCGTCATAAACAGCAGAGGCAAACATTTTGATATGGAAGCTACCTCCATCTTCAGATCTCATTACTCTGATGATGGAGACAGTACACACCTCTCAAATGCTTATTAATTTCTATGAGACAACATGGTGCATGTTAAAACTGCTGAAAACTCTGATGTATGCCTTACAGAACCCCACATATGCAAAATGATGTTCAAGAAACACACCACGCTGTCATCATTTGTTGTCACTAAAAGCCTAAAGGAAGAGACCACTTCACAGACTTAGGCAACCATTCCCTCAGAAGCATGCAGTAATTGCTTACTGCTAAGCCAAACATGTTCTGTAATAGTGGAACTTTGTCATGTAACTAATACAAGATCATATTCAAGTATACCGTGCAGTTTACAGACCTCTGGGCATGGTTCAAGCCCTATCAAACCCACCTGAATTACAAAACAAAGCTATTATTCTAATTCCTGTAATTAATCTATTGTATACTCATTACCACAACATTAACGACGTTACGTAATATAACAAAATAATCTTATCAATCATCAACTTGAATTCTTTGTAAGGATAAACTACAGCAGAAAACACTTACACTTATGTCCATAACAAAAGAAGGAACTTGAGGAAGCACCCATGCTTTACGTTTATCAAAAAGAATTCAAACAATTTGTTTTAAAATATAAGTTGTTGTCCCGTTTCTTCTCGGAAGACTTGATTTCACAAAGCAAGCAATTAAACCATCGAAGAACAAATATTTTTATAACCTCAAAATCTAAATGCACAACATGTCTAATTACCCAACATTGTAGTTGCAGAACAACCATTCAAAATGAAATATTATTAACAATAAATGCATTATTATTTGTACCTTTCAGTGGGCAGAGATTTCCACACCACAACGATAGCAACTTAAAGTTTAACACGCAGTAAAACTTGCACTTTACACACGAACGAACTCAACCACAGATCGCACAGCATGCAAATACAGAGAAGTCGCGGCCTCGGTGGAAGAAAATAAAGTGTGTTCACAGTGGAAGGTCAGAACAGAACGAAATTACTCATGACGTCATTCTTGATTATAACATAAATAAAACATTTTGTCTTGATGGAAATTAATGAAATTTGTTGTAGATCATATGCCACAAATGAGAACACCAAATTTAATATTTTATGGAATCCTGTACTCAGTAATACCAACATGACGGCTTTACTTTAAATCTTGAGGAATGAAAACACCATTTCATATGAGTTAGTATCTATATAAGCTGAAGTACATGCATATAGAAATCTTTTCGTAAATACTTCGCATAAGCAAAAATTCTCCAACATAGAATTTAATTGAGACGCGTTATACGTTCTCTAGTCGATTCATGCATACAAGTGATAAACTGTACACATCATATGCACACGAACACACCTTACTTATTCCCGACATGGATCGTTGTATGGTTGGCAATGATCTACTACCTTGCAGGAAATATCAACAGTATACATATGACGAGAACAGTGTTCACTTATTGAAGTCGTTAATAGTTGGTAGGGTTCTCAAGGTAGTGGGAATCTAAGATTTTAGTCTTCTGGGCAACAACTCCCAGTGATCTTACATACCTAAGCCTCGGAGGGACGTATGGCCTCCATCTGCAAGGTGCATCTGATATGTGCCTCTTCTCGCATTGACTCCCATGCTCTCTATCCTCATCTGATCTGATCACCCAGTACCCAAATGGTCTAGCCAAGGTTCTACCTAATCCAAACAGTTACCTCATCTCAACCAATTCCTTGTGCACTGCTTAATCATTGTCAACATGACGGAGGCAGTAAGCACCTCCAAAACACTTGTAAATTCTACCAGGTGACATGGTTGCAACATCGCAGAAGACAGAGTTCCCAGTCTCACTTGACTGAAAATCATCAGATGGGGTACGATAATTCCTCAGGAACATCCGAGTTCCTTCACAATTGCACATATATTTCATGTATCTCAAACAAAATTCTCCTTAATGAAATGCAGTGATCTGTGGTAAAATAAATAACAGGAAGAGATTTGGAAAAGTTGAATGAAAATATGTTTTGATCATAAATATAACTTTCATACAACAAAAGAAAATACAACTGAGGGACAAATAAAAACTGATAGAAGAACAGACCATAGAATATTGATTCCTCAAAGCAGAATACAATTACTACAATGGAAGCATCTCACAATAATCTTAGGACCTGAAGTATGCCAAAAAATCAAAGTAAAACTCTTCAAAATATCATCAAGTTCAAAACAAGACAATTTTTCCAGGTCACTAACCATCATTAAAATGAATTGTTAAATATTATAGAAACAAATTATTTTCCAAGTTACAAAAATAATCTTAAACCAGGACTTGAACCCTGTACAGTTCTCTGGGGTTGTGGCCATTCTTCGTGTAATCTCCTGATCAATACAAACAATTTCAGTCCTGGTGATGTGCTTCTGCCATGCTTATTTCCTAAGATACAGAAATCACCGTCACCAGATTTTGAACTCAGGAGATATTTTTGGAACTTTAACCTTTCTGAAAACTATTCTTGGTTTCAACATTATGCACGCCAAGTTTGGTGAAAACTCGTTTACCTGTTCTCAAGCTATAAGTTTACGCACACCCATAATTCAAATTTTCTTATAAGGATGATTCAAATTTGACCTGAAACATGCCAATAAATTGCCTGACCTGTTTCATGTTAAACAGACTAAAACACAAAACAAAAGAACTATGGACTGTGAATAATAACAATACACATTCTGAAAAATAATGAAAATTCAGGGTCAAATGTAAACCCCGTGTATAACAAATTTATTTACTTTCTTCTAAGTCACAACTATTCTCTTATTTGACTGATTGTTGGTCATTCAACAATGCTTTTGAAATCCACGTGTTATGTAACAGTGAATGATGAACTGGAAGAGATCATTCATAACCTGCTTCAAGATAATGTACGAGCATGTGCTGGCAGGCAACCTGGGACCTGATTATGAAGTAGGAGTACAAACCACTCACCAGTAGGTGCTCTAACGTCATTCAATGTAAAACAACCTCAACATTTAAAGAATTACCACATAACCTACAAATCAAAAAATTCATGTACTTTGTACTCATCACAATGGTTATTCCAATAATCAGACTGCAGCATGTGTGCGTCGATGAGTCTTTAGATGCTCGCTCTTAGAGTATTCCTTGTTGCACACGTCACATTTGTATGGTTTTTCACCTGTGTGGGTACGAATATGTCTCTTGAGATTTGCACTTACAGAGAATTCTTTACCACACTGATCACACTTATGCGGTTTCTCCCCTGTGTGAGTACGATAATGTTTCCTCAAGTTGTCACCTTTAGAAAATTCCTTTCGACATATTTCACACTTGTGTGTCTTTCCTCCCATGTGAGAACGATAATGTGTTTTCAGACTGACCCTCATAGAAAAGGCTTGACTGCATATGTCACACTTATGAAGCCTTTCTTCAGCGTGAATACGATAATGATTCTTCAGGTTTACATTTTCTGCAAAACTCCTATTGCATATGCTACAAGAGTACGGTTTCTCCCCTGTATGAGTGCGATAATGTCCCTTCAAAGTTCCATTCTGTGAAAAGAATTTATTGCAAATATCGCATTTGTACGGTTTTTCCCCAGTGTGGGTGCGAAAATGCCTCATTAGGTGCTCTTTCCTCACGAACATTCTCTTACATTCCTCACATTTATAAGATTTCTCTCCCGTCTTGTTGCGTTTCTTCCTACGCACTTTGTTACTGTTTAAACTCCCAAGCATCACTCCTGTTGCAATTATTTTAATCTCATTATGAGTGCTGTCATGCACATCAGAACAGTTACGTACATTATATATGTCATAGTACTGTTCATTCCCATTAGCTTCGGTTAATAAAGTGCCGTAAGTGGATGATTCTTCTCGTTGACTACTTAATTTTTCTTCGCTACAACAGAATTTAAAGACCACATATCTTATAAACTTTTCTGTAAGTTAAATAAATATAGGCATTCTTTTAAAAACTATTAACATAAAATCTGTATACATATGATACCCTAATTTCTAAAACGTAGTACCCTACATGTGACCCACTATCTTGCCTCAAACAGGATATCTCACTTAGAAAATGAGGTCCATCTGATCTGAATGATGTATATATTTGCCCAGCCATATCAGAACAGTTAAAACACAGTGAAGTTACTTCCTCATCCCAAATCACTTCCATAAATAAGTTTTATTATTATAAATCCCTTTTTTGACTTACCAGAAATTTACCTCAGAATCTCTTTATGAATTTCTTGCTTCCTGCATCCAAACTACGTACCCAGTGAGCCACAGCTGTCATAATTTGACTAGCTTAATAGTACTGGGTGATAAGTATAACTGTTAATATTTACAATCCACAACTTACATTGTATAACCTCAAATAATGGAATATAATTCATCTAAATAAATTCTACTAATAATATTCACCTCTCTAGACACTCCTCAAGGTCTCCTGTCGAAATTACATTCTTCAGTTCACCCTTGACTGTATTACTGTCCCATGACCCGTCTTCATGCTGGAAAGTTAAATATTATGTTTAATAAGAAGTATATTAGATGTGAGACGGTGCAGAATTTGGTCTGGTATATAATGACTGACATTTCAGAGGAGCATACCGCCTCCAATCATTAATCTCCTGTTTACTAATAATGAGGACTTTATCTTCTTCTAATATCCCTTTTAAGTGGGGGTCAATGGGTAAATTATTATAACTGCAGCACACAGAAATATACAGATTTTACTCACCTCAATTTCATTTTTCACTGCAATGAAACTGAATGGCACTGGTTTCTGATCTTTGCTGTGTGTAAGCTGTGGGTCCATCTCACCATCTGAATCAGGTTCCTGTTTGATTACAGCTCCATTGTTCTCTAAATCAAATCAATTTAACTGTTCAAATGCCACAACATTCTACACAAGTTCCTGTATCAGATACTGACATCAAACATTATAACAATATTTTATCCTGGGACTTATAGTGTAGGAAATGGTAATCCTTACCTCCTGCACTTAATTAAACACACAGGTTCAAAACAGTAAAAAAAGCGTCTTGTTTATACAATTAAGTTTAATGATACTCAGACAGTTTTTAAATCCAGTTCCACAGTTTAGACTGGAAACAACACTTCAATTATGAACATGAGGTGAATCAACACATATAATCATCATGCATTTCTCATTACATTTGCATGACACAAAATAAAATGGTCAGTGATCATTAATAAACACCATCATTACCTTCATTAAACGAGGAATCACTCATTTGCATTGCAAGATCTGCTACTGCCTTTTCCTTAACTTGGAGAGTCTTCATATCTGAATCAGGTTCTACTTTAATTTCATCCATGTTGAGCTATAAAATAGTTACAGTCCTATCAAAACCCACACATCATTGTGGATGGTTAGTTAACACTCATGTTTCATATCTGGGCGGTCAATGATTTAATTCCTGGTTCACAGGCCAGTTAACCTCAGGCTACCTGCGGTTTTCCTTTTCCACTCCAGAAATATCCAGTATTTTCACTTACTGTACCTTAAACGTGTCATGCGAACTGTCTTTTCGGCGCTTTTTAATCAATGTGAGGCAGACTAATAATTTCACATTCTGCGAAGAATGTACATCGTACATTCATGGGGAAAAATTCGAAAATGATTCATTTCCATAAAAGGTAAACAGACATTAGGCCATGGCCCGAGAGGGGAGCAGTTTCCATTGTGGTGTTCGAAGTGTCGGAAGAATAGTGTGGGTAGTACAATTGCTGCAATTTTACCACAAATCTCACAGTAACATTTAAAACAATGCAATATCCGCAATAATATTAATAATGTGTAAAAACATCATAGCCACTTCTCTTCGCGTTTCTCGTTGAAATGTGGTGCACCTGAACATCAAAATAGTTCTGTAGAAAAAAACAGATTCTTCAGCACTTCTACGGCGTATTTAGCGTTAAAATTTGATTCTATAATAATACACATACAAACTAGAAAAAAAATACAATTTCGCCCAGACATAATTTGTATGTGATAGTATCTAATATGCAGTGACCGGACAATAACTAAATTGACGTCATTTTAGTGCGCGCTTAATATAAATTGCCCATCATAAAATAGGTTCCAGTACATGTGTGATCGTTAGAGCGTCAGCCAGTGCCCATTTTTGTGCTTAAACTACACTTCGAATATTTAAAGGTATGAGATACAACTGATCATAATATATCTATTTTTAATCTCCTATTTTGTCATCCCTCCAACATCAAATGTTTTCAGAATTCTATTTTCAAATGCCAGTGATCTCATCCTCTGCTGTGGAACTAATCCATTTGTGGGCTTTTAACATCTTAACAGTGTTGAAACTTTAGATTCTATTATCGTAGTTTTTAGTTAATAATTATGTTTGTACATGAACAGCAATAACATTAAGAAATACATACCTATATATTTCACGGCAGTTTGCATTAACTTCGCCCTGACACCTCAGTTGCGAATTATTTGCTTATTACCAACACGTTAATGCATCACACCCCTCTGCCTGCCATCTTCAGTTCTTCCTGACATTTCACCTTTTAGCATATAACATGACAAAGACATTTGAAAACAGGTCTACCTACCTGATGTACTAAAATCATAGGCCTTTTCACATTACATTTGGACAAATACATTATGTATTTTATGTAGTGGAAATCTTGCAAGAGGCATCAGTAACAGGAGTCTAGGTCCTTGTTCAATTTTGTGTCTTGCTTGCTGAGAAGGATCACAGGTATAATTTTAATGATTATGTCAAAGTATTTACTTTTATTATACAGTGGATAGTACAGCTGTGTTAAATATAAAACTCTGTATATTTTTTATTAATGACACGTTGTTGTCAAAGATTCATAGACTAGTTAGTATGATAATTTTAACAAAGTATTTCAAACACATTGTTAATGTGACATCGCATAGTGGTTTGAAATGAAGGTCAACATGTTTTTGTTTCAAATATGTGGGTTTTATCACTCTTAAAATTGTATGTTATTTAATTCATAAAAGAAAAACTTTCATAAACATAAAGCACAAGTATGTAATGTAAATTATATTGTAGAAAAAAAATATAGTCAGAAACTGTTGCTGTAAAATTCTGCTATCTCTTTTTGTATACTACTAAATTTTAATACAAAAATTGTATGAAGACTGTCATTTCGAGGTCCCATTTACAAATGTGGGACCACTGATTCAGATTTTACTGTAATTCCATTCCTGAAAAAGAAGCACGATTATTGTGGATCATATAAAAGTGGAAACATACTAGAAGGAAAAAAATTACTATAAGCAGTCGACACATCCTGATGTCTTATGAAGTTACGACATCATACAAATAGTTCTGAAAAGGGAAATGAAAAGTTTAGAACTTGATAAGTTGCCAATGTAAATCACCCTCCACATGCAAAACCTAATTTATGGTTACATTCCCTACATATAAAATTAGTTAAATTAGAAGTTACATCATGGGGGTGTATCACGCAGCCCACACCATGTATCAACCCACAACATGGTAGATCACCGAGATGGTTATGTAATATTTGTACCTATGCCTGTTAATATTCCTTCTGCCAGACTTCATGTTCCAACTGTACCGATACTAAGACCCCCTAGATCTTTCAGCTATTTGTTAAGGTGCCTGAGAAGGAAACATGTAAATACAGAGTTAAAATTGTTAAACCATCTATGAGCACATATCCAGACTAATCAATCAACGTAAACTTCCAACGCCTTTTTCTAGGGGGAGGGGGATAGTATTTCACTGCGTGAGAGAGAGTGATACTGATGTGGGCTTCACGAATTGTTAAGACAATATGCCTTGAACATCTTGACAGTGCACCTGTCTTAGGTCTGAAAATATCTAAAGATGCTGGATCAGAAATTAATATTGCCAACTGGTTCACAAAAATCTCGCTAGGTAGTAATATTTTTGAGTAAGAAAAAACCTATAAAACTGTCACTCTGGACTGATAAGCCGGACAAGTCTATTGAAAAATGTTAAATTTCAGAACAAATTCTTGATGAATATAAATAAATATTAAATTTCTGAATAAATCTGAAGTACAATTTTCCAAACGTGTTGAAGAGTTTAACAACAATTTTCTACCGTCCAGGCATTACAACCGCATAATGGTAAAAAAAACACAAGTTGTAACACACGTTTAACTCTTCACGTGTCATGAGTTAATGTACTGTTTGTGGCACCAGGTGGCAGTACTAATATTCACTGTTAACGCGAAACAGCAAGTTAATAGTTGCGTTCTGGCCACCGAAGGCTCCAGGATGCCACTGAGCATGTACAAATAGCACTGATGCAACATTCTATGAGTCAAGATAAATTTATTGTTATTTATAAGTCGTTGACATCAAACCTATTGAAGCGAGTAAGCAGCCAGTTTGATCCCAGATTATGTATTTTATATGATGGGTTTCTTAGTTCACAAATTTAAATGCTGGTGTCTCAAAACATGCTAATTCTCCCTCCTGATCAATCCACACTTAAAAATTATTATTCAGTTACCTTAGAAGTTTGCTGATGCAACGCGTGGTCAACTGGAACCTATGTAAGCCAAAATGCACAGCTGATAAAGATTAAAATCAATGCATATTAAGTGTTATCATAGTCTGAATCCATTTAGATAAACATATATGCAAATCTAACCCGTTAATGTTCCGTTTTGCCAAATGGGACACACACGGAAAGTATCTCTTGAAGAATCGGGACATGAACCTGGGATCAAACAAAGGCTTCGTATGTTGTTAATGCAATACTCAGTGACAGGCTGGACCAAAGCATTGCGCTGGTCTTGCATCTACGCTTACAAACACAGTGAGTCCGAAACAGTCAAAATGGCTTCACACTTTCGACTCAGTCTGTGGTCCACGTGTCAGACATTTATTAAATTGGGACTGAGGCCAACTGCGAGACAGAGGTCATTATCCAGATTCATAAAAAATAGCGTATACCGAGAGTCTGGAAACTGAAACCCTTAAATTCACAGACCACCGGATCCTGTACATTTATATTTCTGGTCACACAAGGCCACACGTTCAAAATATAAATGAATTTTTGTTGGATTTTTGTAATCTATATTATTCAGATCTGAAGCAATATATCAGTATGTCATGATGGTGTAGATTTACCCTAATTCTTAGTGGTACTTCATGATTCCTCTTTTTCAGTTGATAAAATAAATTTTTCGCCCTCTAAAAATTAAAGCAAGTCGTTCACATAACAACTCTTTAAGTAAAGAAGCCTTAAAGCAGTGCCAAATAGCTTACCACTTATTGATTATGTTTTATGAACCTATCTGCAATAGCGAGTACCAAATAGTTTACCACTTATTATGTTTTGTGAACCTATCTGCAATAGCGAGTACCAAAATTTTTAATAAACTGCCATGAAATTCCAATAAACTACGATTTATATCCCCGCAGCTTATGAGTAATATATAAAAAATGGGTAAATGTGGGCCAAAGTGTTTTCAAAATTTTAGAAGTCCAGACTTAATACGATGTTCCTAAAAATCCATTTTAAATTAACAGGAGCTACAAATTTATAATATAGCGCCAAGCTCCGTACTCGTTACCAACACTTATTGTAAGATATGACAACAGATGGATATTACAAAGTAATAAAACTGGTGTAAGCGTAAGTGCATGAACCTCTGCGAAGCACAGAATTGCTTCGGCATGTTGCCAACGAGACTCATTTTTCTCAATGAATTAACAGTAGGCACAACATAGCGACGATGGCAAGAAAGGATGTGGCGCGTACTGCTGCCATGTTTCCTTCATTTTCAATGACAGTGTAGCGTAGTTCCTCATGAATCTCCTCGGTCTCAAGCTGCAGATGTTGTTCCCTGGCATCCGGCTGCTCCTGAGAAATAGTAGCGTTGATGTTAACTTGATCAGAATGTGATTGGATCACAGACCCACCAAGTTTGCCTGCAACGTGAACAGTAAATTAGTTATGATTATTCTTGTAAATTTTTTTAAAAAAAATTCAAACATGTAAAAAAAAAAAAAATTGAGTAGCAAATGTTTAGATTTACATACCTTGGATGCAGGTACTGAAAGGTATAAACAAAGAATATTTATCCTGAAAGATAATTTCACAGGAAAAGGACAAGTTATGTTGGTAAATTAGGGCACTGACCACTTCAACATGATATTCGGTAAACACTGACATTGATTTGACATGGGAATATATCGCTGAGTGTTTAAAGCAATGTTCTCCTACCTTTCTCAAGCAGGTTATCATCTTTGTAGTCGACCCGGATGAAAGTGGACATGGTCACCTCAAATACCTTATTGGGATCGGCAGGTATGGATGACACCTCCCTACGCCTGCGCCCATATCCCGTTTGCCCGTTGCTACACTCCACCTGAACATATCAAGGTAAGTTTTTCAGAAAATGATACCTCATTTAGAAACACTGCTGAGATATTAGTTTGTTATTTAAGAATGAGAGCGGAATTACCACTTTCCTTCTATCTTCTAGAATATCATTGATTTTCAAGAAGAGACAATGTGAATTATCACAAAAATACAAAGGTAAAGGAATTTAATTTTGTGTTTCAAAACAAAGCATTATAGCCCATGTCAAGATTCTTACAGTCATGTTCCACTTTTACATCAGATTAAATCTACAAATTTTAAAATTTAAATAAAATATTTTCGAAATTATTAAATTAATTATTCTGTTTTGTCCATCTAATCACAATTATATTTAAAATTTTACAAATAAGATAATTAAAATATCATTTTATGTTTCACATCGAATAATCGATTTACATTTGGAACATTTTTACAACATGTTTCGGTTTCATCGAACCATCTTCAGGTGTAAAATTATAGAAATTATGTTAAGTCATATGTTAAAATAAATTATGTTTGAAGGGTTAAATATATGAAGGAAAGCACACAAGTATTTTTGAAAGAGTACCCAAAAATTAAGCCTGAAATTTTATCTAAACCCTCTCCGCCACAGCAGTGTTACTTCGAGAATGTAAACAGATACCAGAACATTAACACACATTGGTGAAATGTGAGCGTGATATTACTGGCTTCAGTAACTCACCCCTCTGCATTTGTCCAAGCAGACATTCACCGTGCCTTTGAATTGTACGTAGGTTGACTCCGGGAACTTGAAAGCCCGGAACTTCGCCGACAGAAAATCCCCGTCAACGGTGTTAAAGTTCTCAAAGAGGTAGGGGTCTACCGAGCACCTACGACAAAATTACGCACAAGAACGGATTGATAATGAAATATCAACAAAATTATGAAAGTAATTAATTGTTTTCTTTATTCTGTTTGTATCTACGGGTAAGGTTAAACAAGTAGATGACCACACAGAAAGATTATGACATCACAATCATTTATAACAGGCAAGGCCAAGCGTATCCAAACAAATCACAGTCAGTCAATGTTGGTCTGTGGACTTCTATGCAGATTCCTAGTTTTAAAGATGAAGTCAGTAGCTGACTGTGAAATATCGGTATCAACTTAAGAGTTCGCGTGGTGTTATAACCCAGACAGTCAACGTGAACATGAGCACATGGCGTAGCTGTTTAGAAATATGATGTCGCTGTGCTGGAAACTGTCGCTTTAAGCCTGATTACATCCTTGTACTGGGGGCAGTGCCACTCACCCATTGAAGATGATGGTCTCTTCCTGTGTCTTGGTGTCTGTAACCTGCATGTAGCTGACCAACAGCCCATATACCGGTGCGCTCGTCTTGTCCAGGAATATTTCCATCTGTAGTGGCGTACCCGGATTCACATTAAGCTCTCCTGTAACCAGCTGCCCTCCTTGACGCACCCCAACTCCCAGAATTGGCTCTGGGGCAGATCCTTTCACGACTTGGAGCTCTGACTCCCTGAAACTATCATGATACATCATCACAGATCTTAGTCTATCAGTTCTTATTACAACCAACGTATTTATCCTTATTTAAAACTTGTCATTCTCGTACCACGAGAACCTCAAATTTCATGCACAAACCATTTCATCAGTCCAAGGTCTGAGGACGCTACTTACTCAGATTCCTGGAAGCCAGCGGGCAACACGTTTCGCTTTTCCCTACGTTGCGACGTGACGCATTTGACGAGAATCACTTCTTTTGGCAGGCTCGAGTCCTCTACCACAACATGGTGATAATATATAGACTGACCCTGTATCACAATACAAGTACGCGTTAATAACCCTGAATTACCACTGTCACAGAGTGAAAATAAAGTAAACGTATTCAAATAGAGCGACTGATCCACATGAGAACATGCAGTGAATCTCGCCCTATTTCCTTCAGACCTATTTCAACAACATCCAATCTACATTTAGGTCTTTAAACTGATCCATTCCCTTCAGACTTCTCAACCCTAATTTTGTCTTACTTCTAATTTTCTCCCTAAAATAATGACAATGTTTTTCATTACAAATCTTTAGGCAAAAGCTCTATTCTCTCTGAAAAACAACCTCACAGCGAAAAAGTATATACCGTAAGCTGGTTGTGTATCCTGTTTACGCCACACTGGAACATGTCAGTTAGTGACAGCTGGAAGGTTGCCTTGTTTTGTTCCAGCTCTGGGTGGCAGGCTTTGTCTGTAACATAAAACCATTGATCTCTCAGTCATCCAACGCATGATAATTAGGAGAACACTTAAATAATCGAGGAACTGAAACCGGGTTGCGTTGACAACACATTAGACGACCGTAGGACAAAATGTGAATGTAAATTCTGCTATTACTTACCTGCAAAGTGTTTTAACTGTTCTAGGTAGATATTAGTAGTGGTCTCCGTCCGAACTAGCTCCACCAACATGGTGTCATTTGAGCATTTTACCTTGTAGTGAACTGCAACAGAGAAAATATAATTAATGTCACACCCATCCCAGACATGAAATTGGCATCTGTATAAAAGAATTTTAGCAAATTACGACAAATTTTAAACTAGCAACGAGTGGGAACCATAAGCGTATTACAGGATAGACCAGAAACACACATTTCGACGTCGAAACAACGCTCCGGATAAAGCGAAGACAAGCCTCAGGGCGCCACGACGAGCGTCGGGACGTCATGTGTCGCGAAGACGAACCTCGTAATGACATAAAACCACGACGTTGGCAACTCGATGCCGAGCGTCGCGATACAGATGTGTCATTCCGAATAAAGCCTAGGAGTGCCTCGGGTCGCCGTATAACAATTAGATATGTTTAGCGCCCATCAGACAGCGAGAGGAGAAGGGGTTTGCCAAGTAACAACCTCGTATCGGCTGCGTGTTACCACGCACAACGAAGCATGATCTAATCAGAAACGCTAACGGAATGACCACAGCTGACCATAACCACACACTTCCGGTTCCAGAGCCGTGATCTTTATGCCAAATTCTTTGGTTCGTTATTAGCAAATTCGATTTTACGCCGCCCAATCCTGGGCAATCCTTTGAAACACGTAGATCGTCTAAATAATATTTAAAATTTCAGTCCGTACCGCGAAGAAAAAACGATACTTCACCATTACAAAGATCAACTGGTTAACCCTTTGAAACACGAAGATTGTCTAAATAATATTTAAAATTTCAGTCCGTACCGCAAAGAAAACACAACATTTCACCATTAAACTGTCCATAGTACGAAGGCCGCTACAGATCCTCGAAGGTAGATGGCCCAGTGCATTTTCTGACTAAGTTCATTACGTCATACTTAAAACTTAATTAGGTTCTACTTTCAACGTTGTTCATGTATTCATAAGTCAATGGGAAATGCGTTTATATTTATCTCATCGAATGGTAGAGGGGATGCCTATTACAGGAATTGTACACTGTTTCAAAAAGCTTGAAAAAGGATTAGGAATGATTATGGGTTGAAAAGGTCATGGACTTTACTTATCATCTATTCTATCTCGTCCTCAAGGAACATAATAATCGTAAATGGTCCAGATTTTGTTAAGAGAATCGAGTTGTAAATATTTCCTCACACTTCGAGAAATCTTTTGCGCTCTGAGACCAGGAAGTTATCGATTGTTTCCATTGGAAACTTTACTATCTAAGTCACGTTGGAATCGGTGACTCGATACGACAAGCGACTTCATAGCGTATCGTTGTTTTATTAAATTCGTGATAATTTCAAGCATTACCTAACTCTGCGAACCCCGAAGGTAGATTGACTTGTGCTACAGACTACAACTGAACTGAACACACGTGAAACAAGTAGTTCCAGAAAGGTAATGACTGGTCTGACTGGTCATAGAAGTTCAATCCAATTTCTCCCGCACGGTTCGTGGTACAAAGTGTGACGTCTTACAACGTTCTCTTACCACAAAAGGCAGAAATAAAAGGTTTAAGAGTTATCAAGGAATAAAAATCACGCTACAGTGACTTGTATTACATTTTATGGGCCTACTTATATTTCCAACCGAGTAAAAGCACGCCTATACAAAGTTCGTCTAGTCTCCTCGTTCGTAGTTCGTTGCCAACAACTGCATTTCAATTTTTAACATTTAATGGAACTTCGCCCCCTCATCATCTGTTCACGAATAAGTACTCCGCCCTCTTCCAGTCTGAACATTGTCTGGGAAACTTAATCCGAAATGTACCCTTCTTCTGGCGACCACAAAGCACGTGGATTATTAATTAATCTTATTGTACCGGTCCAGGCAACACACACACAGCCTCCTGGTTCTGCAACTGTAATTATTATTTTCGCCGCAGGGCGCTAGTGGTCAGGTCAGTCACCGCGCTGACCATTTCAAACATTCTCCCAATTGAAATGCGCGCATTCTCATATTTTGTTAAGATTATTCTGTATCAGATTGAGAGCCTGTTGGTTGAAAGATTTCCTAGAAAACAAAACATTTCAGAACGTAAAGTCTACGGGAAATACAGAGCTTTGTTAGAGTAATGAAATATGTGACATGGCAGGAACATGTTAAGAGGATTTAAAAAAGAATCATATCCGAAAGAGGTTTCAGTTTGGACCCACAAGGAAAAATGAATGCCGAAACGCATTCCTTTCGTAAACAAATCAGTGTACCTAGCCACAGTTTCCTTAGTAATTCGCACCAGTTCATTATTACCAGTCTCCATGTTTTCCGTAAGAAAAGTGTGAGATGTCAAGACTGTCAGACAAGCCCCTATTAAAGATGGGTGTCTCATGCGTTGTAGCGCCGTATAGTCTTACCGACGTTTCAGAGGCATTAAGCAAGTCTGAAACGTCGGCAAATTTCTACCACAGTACACAGTGCTACAACCCACAGTACCTCCAACATACTCAAAATCCTCTATCATTACTTGGAATATTCGAACGAGAGTCCGTAATTATCGATATATGAGGTGATCGACCGCCACGGCTTGAGGACAAGAGTGACACATGTGGAGCGACTGTCGGTACTACAGCTTCCTGCTTTATCATTGTATAATAACTGCATTGGATACAAAACAAATTTTGTGTCATGGGATTAAAAAAGAGGGAAAATTTGGATCGACTTTCCAGAAGTTACCACGGTTTGTCGAAGTCTTCTGGGACCTTAAAATACGCCATAAACGGCTTATTTAAGTTTCTTTCCGAAAATTTTGTTTCAAGTCATCTGACGCAACATAACCTGTACTATTAAAATGTGCAGCTAAGTAAACAAAGGACAGATAAGCGTACTCAGTCCTAACAGAGAATGCTGTGGTCGCACCTTCACAAAAGATCAAAATTAGTCCTCCTCAATACATTTATCCTAAGTCACTAATATTATCTGCGAACATTAAGCAATGAAAAATACAACAAAGCGAAACAAATTTAAACAAGAATCAATGGTACATGAAACTTTGATTTGTGTCCCAGCTTGGGAAGAAATGTCGAATGGACCAATACGTCACGCGACTAACTGAGCATCTTAGCTTAAGGACAGGGCATCTTATCGGTGCCGCCAGATCCATTCGTCTCAGTTCCAACAAGTGAAAGTAGGTTAACTGACCAAAGACGTGGGGTAATGGAACTTCAACTGTACCAGTGGTACCAACATCACCACTACTTCATTCCCTTCACCCGTTTCCTACAAAATTTTACTTCAAGTATTATGTGCATTTTGTGTTAATAAGAGATCTGTTTATTACACTTCATACTTCAAGACTATTCTACCCGTCGATTAATGCCACCAAATTGTAGTAAATTTATTCACTAAAACGTGGTTTAATCGACTGAATGTATGTGGGCAATAGTTTAACAAAAGAATTCGGTTGATTTCTTTAAAATTTACCGCGTATTTTATATATGAAAGTCGTCTTCGAGAACATGTAAATACATACGGCGTGTTCCATAAGTCCTTGCCCATAGGAATACTTTTGATATTTGACAAAATGCTGGAGAATCCGAAGACGGAAAAAAATGTATGCAAATGTTGATTCCAATTTCAAGTATTAGGATTTTTTCACGTAGAAATTTCCATGGTCATGTCCTATATACGAAATGTTTGAATGAATTTAGCGTTACAAGTGCAAACGTACGAAACAAAGCAGATCTTCACCACTCGATACAGTATCATCACATTCTGATTTGTGCTGTGAGATTAATGACAAAGGTACATAAAGCGACGTTCTACCCTTTATGTCATTGTTGTATACAACCACAGGAGATTTCTCCGAAGTATAAGACACGGATGTGTGCTCTTGAAAGTAAACATTCAGAAAGCAAGCATGCAAACAGAGTGGGCCATGTATTTTTCGTCAGTCCAATTGGGGCAGCAGCCATGTTTGTATTAATGTGTACTGTCGTAATATTCCATACGGCCTTCATGTTACTCCGGCCAGTTATACCAGTGGTATTTAACCTGGGGTACGTGAAATTTAAAAAAAAATTATGATAAACACTGAATAATCAGTAATGTAATTTATTTAATTTATTTTAAATGTAGATTATATACAATGTATAACTTTAATTATACACCAACAACTTTGGAGGTACAAAGTTGAAGAGAAATTATATCTGGGGGTACGCGAAGACATCTTAGGGGGTACGTGAAATTTAAAAAAAATATATATATTATTTTATGGTAAACACTGAATAATCAGTAATGTAATTTATTTAATTTATTTTAAATGTAGATTATATACTACGTATAACTTGAATTATACACCAACAACTTTGGGGGTACAAAGTTGAAGAGAAATTATATCTGGGGGTACGCGAACAAAAAAGGTTGAATACCACTGGTTTATACCACCACTGAAAATAAATTAATAAAATGCACACGTTACTAAGTAATGAATTTGACTTCATAACGTAATAAGAATTATCATATTTCTGGATGCGTAATGAAACCTTAACATATTAAGTAAAATATCGGAGGTCAAATTGTTTATCATGAGATAAGGGCGATTTCTACGATGCTATGAGATTTAGGACTCTCAAAGATCGTCGAATGTTTGTCATAACGGGCAAATATGATCGACGCGCCTCCTACATTGCCAGGTGTATGAAGATGCTGATTACACTCGATTACAGAAAGAGTTCGCTAGATCGTCAAAATGACTTTATCACCAAACGATGGTGATCATTTTTTAACACGCTGATTCAGGTGGCCATGTGTACCATGTTACGCAATGCCACATAATCCGTCTTGAAGGCGAAAGTGAAAGGTGTGACGTCAACTTGGGGTTAGTGATCTTATTAAGCGATTTGAATAAAACCAGGGAGGCTGCAACGACTAGCGAAATGTCATGAAAACATGGCAAGTGCCGACACGTCTTACTGTTGACAATGTGTAGAGTGCAGCGCCTTGACGGCATGTAGTAGGCAAAAGATGTCCAACAACTGAGTACGGAAACACGTGATTTACAACAACATTTCTTTATGTTCTTCCGTGTTTTG